CAGCGCGGAGRGGAGCAGGGCAGAAACAGCAGGGGCTTGGGGGGGTCTCAGCAAACCCCCCTCGCCTCTCCCAGCGCTGCCAGCTGAAGGGTGGAGCATCCACATTCGGACACAGCCGGGGGCTGGGGGCTTCCCTGGGCTCCTCACGCCCACGAGGTGCTGGCCACTGCCAGGGGGTCGGTGGCCACCCCTCAGCACGCACAGAGTGCCCCGGGCAGGGACAGCTCGTCCCTGGGGCGGCTGTGCCGAAGGGTGCCCTGCAGCTGCTGGCTTAGCCCCAGGCAGAAAGTTGGCCAGAGCCAGCTCCAGGCTCTTACAATAATAAACCCGGCTCAGGCAAGCATTTGTCACTGGGCTGGAGCGGGAAAGGACCAGATATCCCAAACATCTGGGGGAGGGAGCGTGGGAGGCAGAGGGCAGTCAGGGAGGTCCTGCAGAGGCCGGGAAGGGTCTRTCCTCTCCGCAGTGTCCTAGAAGGGTGGCCACAGAGCGTGGTGTCACTACATCAACCCTTGCAGAGGGCTTAATTCCGCCTGGAGGGGCAAATCCTGCTCCTCCCTCGCATCCTATCCCCTGCAGCGGTTCCTGAGCTCAGAGCTGCTCAGGTTTCCGTGCGAAGCTGGTGTCTCAGAGCCGTAGCGGGGGGGTACAGGCAGCTGGTGGGGACTGGGGGATGGAGGCTGTTCTCGTGGCATTGCCAGGCTAAGCCAGACTGGAAGCAGAGTCTGTGGCACTGCAGTCTCCGTGCACTGTGGTGCAGGGAGGCTGTGCCCTCCTGCTTCCTTTACTGGCCCACGTCTGCAGGGCAGATCTGCAGCTGGAGCTGTCCCAGGGGCTGTGGCATTGCTTSCTCCAGTGGGCCGGGAGGGGCAGAGGGATGTGATGGGTCAGGGTCGGTCCAGCGCCTCACCTCTCACCCCTCTGCCTCCCCTCCCGGCCGTGCACCATCCCTGCCCTGCAGAACAGATCCTCTCTTCCCCCATTCTGCATCCACCATTCCCTGCATTCTCCTGCCTGCATCCCCCTGCCCTTCCCAGCTGCAGCTCCTAGGGCTGGTGCCCAGCTGCCCACAGGGTTGGTGTCCAGGATGGTGCCAGGCTGCGGGCACCCTGGGGGTCTGAGTGTCCATCCCCGCTGCCCAGCCGGCTCGGGGGTCGCTCCTGGCGGTCAAACCCGCGGCGGGCAGAGAGGATCAGATGCCGTTTGTGCGGCTGCGGGACGAGGAGCGGGGCAGCAGAGGGTTAAGCAGCGTCTGGCGGCGGGAAGGGGACCGGGAGGAGGGGGGCGATGGAGGAGTTTGTTTAATAGCTGGAGACAAGCTATGCAGCTGTGCAGGTCGGACGGGCCCTGCAGCCCCCGGCCCCACCACCCCCTCCCCAGCCCTGCCCGGGCAGGCCGGCAGCAGGCAGGGAGGCAGCGCGGGCAGCAGGCGGGAGGGCAGGCAGGCTGGCACCGACTGGCAGCTCGGCAGCGTCAGCAGGGTTATAAAAACCAGGAATGCTTCCCCCAGAGCAGGACATGGCACAGGATGCCTGCCAGCGCAGCAGGGACTGGCAACACCGCCTGGGAGGTGGCCCCCAGGGCACCTGGGGTGCTGGGGGACACTTCACCACTGGGGCATGACCTAGAGGGCTGAGCAGGTCCTGAGGTCCTTGTGGGCTCCCTGGGGTGGGGGGCAGTGGGCTGGTCCCCAGGCTGGCTCAGAGGGGCCACCRAACCTGGTCCAGGCATCTCCGCACTGCTCCACCCCCAGCATTGTCCAGCTCCCTCCTGGCACCATCGGATCACTGGGAACACCCACCCTGGTGCCCCCTGGCATCCCAGGCTGGGGCAGGTGAGACGGGGACCCCTGGCCCCGAGGAGGAGGCGTGAGACGACAGGCAGGTGGGGGACAGATGGCCAGAGCATGAAGCTGGCACGGGCTGAGCCGAGGCATCCGGGAGCTGCTGGGAGCCTCTGGCACCGCCGCACAGCAGGGCCAGGAAGGAGAGGGGACAGGCTGGGAGTGGGGGGAATGAGCACAGGAACAGGGATGAGGACAAGGATAGGGATGAAAACAGAAATTGGGACAGGGAAAGGGATGGGATTGGGGACAAGATTGGGGCTGGGGACAGGAATGGGAAGAGGAATGCAGACAGCAGTGGTGGTGAGGACAGGAAAAGGGACAGAGATGGGAATGAGGACAGRGATAAGGATGGGAATGGGGACAGGAAAAGGGACAGAAATGAGAATGGGAACAGGTATAGGGATGAGAATGGGGGTGGGGATGGAGATAGAGATGGAGATGGGGGTAGGAATTGGGACAGGAAAAGGAATGAAGATAGGCATAGGATGGTGAGTAGGTGGTGAGTATCCACCCCAGGCCAGGGGCAGGGGCTGAGGAGGCAAAAAGCAGCTCGCAGGAGCTGGAAGAGGCAGGCAGTCACCCTCAACCATGGCATGGACGTGGCCATATCAGCACTTCCCATCCCTGGTGTCGGGGAAGAGCTCATGGCGAGGGAAGGGGTCTGMGCGTTCAATGCACACACAGAGGATGCAGTGACCCACCCCTCAGAGAGGCTTGGAAGTGTAAAGAAGCTGGGGGCCAATTAACCTCACTGGCTAATTAGGACAGGAAGCCACAGGCTTAAACTGCAGCAGGGGAGAAGGAAGTTACGGGAAGGCTGATTTATAACTATGGGGACTTGGGAGAGTTAATGGCTCCGTTCTGGGTTAATGATACACCGGGAGGTCCAGGACTCTTTCCGTGCCAGCAAGCCATGGATCATGSGGATGAGAGCGGATGGTGGGGACCCAGCTGCTCCCTTGTGCATCTCCAGGACACCCACAGCTGTTCTGGGGGCCAGGTTTTGGGAGGGTGGCCCGGAGCAGGACTGGGCACTCCCTCTCCTGCCTGGCATCCCCCCAACACAGCTTGAGGGAGCACCYGCAGCCCCCCCAGCACCAGGCAGGTAGCGGAGGGGGGCTGAGAGCAGCCTCCGGCTGTGGCTGCCCCAGTTTAATTCGCTGCCAAATGTGTGTCACCACCCCCAGAACTGAAACCGGAGGCTGCTCTGGAGCCCAGTGGCCCTGGAGTGCCTGGGGGGGCCGGGTGACCTGCCTCCACCACAGCCCGCTGTGTCGAGGCGCTGGCACAAGGGACAAGGTGCCCCAAAGCATCACCCAGCTCACCAGCTGCCAGGAGAGAAAGTGAGACTGGAAATTCAGGACAGCCTTTGTGTTTGGACCAGATCACGAGAGACTGAGGCTCCGAGGGGAAAATAAAACCTCTCCTTAGAAATTCTTTTATCCCAGGGAGCTCCCGCGTATCGTGTTTCGGGCCATTTATTTGTGCTGCTGACTGGGGCCATTGCTGCTGCCCTCCCGCACACAGTGTGGCCGGTGATGAGAAACCGGTGACAAACTCCTCATTTKTCAGAGGAGGACAGAGGAGATGTGTGAGGGTGAAGGACGGCGCCAGCTTATTTTCATGGAGCCATCCCTGGGCAGAGAAGTGGCAGCAGGGGACAGATCACAGTGGGGCTGCCCCCTTCCCAAGCCCCAGCAGTGCCTGGGTGACAAGGTGACCTGTCTGTCTGGAAACCCTGCCCTGCAAACGTTCCCCTCTTCCTGTGGGGTAACTGAGGGAACGGAGGGGCACCGGAACAGGGCAGGGGGCTGTGCTAAGGGGAGGAATTCTTCCAGCAGCAATGTCTGCTTTTGGGTGGCTACTGCTCTCCATTCCTAGTGCCGGGATGCCTTGGCTCCCCCTGCCCTGCTCCTATCCTCCTGGCTCAGAGGCACTAAGATCAGGGCACCTTCCTCTCCAGCACCCGTTCTCGTGCTTTTGCAGCATCCTCAACACCTCGTTACCCTGTCTGGGAGCAGGGTAGTAGAAGGAGAGGCTGCAAACCTGTGATGGGACCTCTGAAGCCAAGGGATAAGGTCCGGCTGGGACTGGGGGGCATGGGGCCAAGCTCTATGGTGCTTGCAGGGGGTTGTACCCATATGTGGGCAAAGAGACCCTGGCAGGGGCCGCCAGCTTGGCAGAAACAGAGCAGGGGAACTGAGACACGTGCCCGGCATTTGGGGGACTCCAAGGTGTCCACCTCAGGCAGGAGGGAGCAGAGCAGAGCTATGGGGCTCAGCTGCACAGCACCTGCTACTCACTGCCTTGGGAGTGCAGGGGGGAAGGTGCTGGGCAGGGATCACCCGGKGCAGGGGAGAATGGTCCCAGGACAGGGAGATCCTGGAAATCCCGGCAGATCCTGGAGCACATCTGTGTCCAGATGCCAGGGCACAGGTACTGAGCTGGGATCACACAGCAGCCAACAGGTCCCAGAGCCGCGGGATGCTGTGCAACCAGAGCGGCCAGGGGTCACCTGCCTGCCCTGGGCTGAGGGACGGGGGTCACCAGCGGGGGTACCCGCGTTGGGGGGGCAGAATGAGCAAGGGGGRGCCAGGGACGGCGCCCCGCTCCTAGCATTTGGAGATGCCGTGTGCGGGAGACGGTTTCTCAGCGGAACCGGAGCTCTCACAAAGCCGCCGACTCGCCGGGGCTCGGCTCCCCGCAGACCCCGCCGCCCCGGGCCGCCCCCCGCCGCGGCAGACAAAGGAGGGACGGCACTTATTTATCCGCCTCCTTCCCGGGACCGGCGGGAGAGCGGCGGGCTGCGGAGGTGCGGCGAGCGACCGGCGGGCTGGCACGGCACGGCGGGGCAGCGCCTGCACCCGCAACAAAGGGCCGGAGCCGGAGGTGAGCGGCGGGGG